GGAATTGTCACTTATACACTTATCACTCGTGAAAATATATAACTGTCATACCCAACAAACGTTCTTGCAGAGTCTTCGAGTATATGACCTGACCTAGGGAGACACAGAGCCGCAACTAGACTAGTGGGACGTTCTACGGTGACTACCTAGTTTAGTGATAAAAGACCCGTAGTCTCTGCGAAGGAGAATGAGACCATGGCGTTCTTTCATATTATTACGTATGTACTGCGGTATTCATTGTTACGACGTTGCTCAATAATGTTGGTATTGACTGCAAAAATAAGCACATGAGAAGAATAGTTCCCTCTATTTTTTTTTTTTTTTTGCACAAAGAAGCTTATCATGAAATAACTATGCAAATTACTTACGTATTCATGTCTCGTTCCTGAAATGCAAAATGTACAAGCTTAGCAAAAATAATCAGTGTATTGAGAAGGATACCACTCACAAAGTTTCTAGATTGTCCTATATTTGGATATGTTCTGTAGGATGTATATATTTTCGTTCTAACCCGTCGTATAATTTTAGGCAAAAATGATACTCGTTTTCGACTGTGTAAAACATACACAGCAGACAAACTCTGCTTCCTCAAGGGACATGCAAGTTAAATTCCTTCGTGTGCAGATATTTTTAACCTACATAACGAGCCTCGAAGTAGTAAATAGAGGTGAATTTAGTCGTTTAAAGGCCAAATTATTCTCACTGTAAACAAGTACTATACAACGATACTCGTTTTTTGAACTCATTACTAATGTCAATAGTTTCAGAATTTCTCTTGAAACAACTTTAAAAAAAAAAACTAAAAATGAACTAAATTACTAAATTGCAAGCTCAAGAGGTGCCATACAAAATATTTATTACCAACAATTTACTACAAAATTGGTATGTATTGGCTTGAGAACAATTTCATTATATTTCATATAATTTCATTTCATTATAACGCTAAAATAGAGCTATTTATTATATTTCTCGTGTGCGAAGCAAATTGTAAACGAAAGATGGGCATTGTAATGATTTGTACGTTAGCGCCGCCCTTGTAAACAAATATGCAGCTCGGGGATGGCGCGCTATAGGGACGACTGTCGAATCTGTACATTGGTTATCCTCCCGTATCGATGTCTCCCTGACCTTAGATGATTTGACATTTAATTTTGCGTTCCAACAGAGAAAAAGAGGGGTTGAACGGCCTTATAACATGGCTCTTGCTACTAAAGTTATCATCAGAAGCTTGTCTGTTCGCGCAGCGAAAACTGCTGCTGTCAACAATGTCACTGTCATTGGTTGCGGATTTATGGGCTCCGGCATAGCTCAGGTAGGCTTCAGTAAACCTTATAGAATGTTATGGACAATTAGCTAAACTGCCCAAAGTTTTCCCTGGAGATGTCATTAAACTAAGCTACGTATGTCAGCAAAATTTGCCCTTCGAAATGCCCCCCTCAATGCAACTTTTGTGCCGCAGCCTCTGGTGATGGTACATTGGGTAACTGGATGCTATTTCATGGGATATTAGCTAACCCTATCAAAGTTAATGTGTAATTTTAATGGGAATTTAATAAATAGACAAAAAAATATGAAAATTAAAAAAAACAAATAAACCTATACCTACATCAAATTTAATCTGACTGTTTTTAATCAACCAAACAAATTTCCAAAATATCAATTAATTTTAGTAATAACATTCATTTCTATAGAACTCTGCCCAGGTGGGATACCATGTGACCTTGGTTGACCAATCAGAGGAGCGGTTAAATAAATCTATGAATGATATCAGGGAAGGATTGGTGGCTGTTGCCAATAAAAAATTTAAAACAGAACCAACTGTAAGTATTATATATGTATTATTTTATATCAAAACAGGACAGCCACATGTGAAGAGTAGTTGGCTATTGGCACAACCATGAAAATAAATCACAATTTTTTCTCATTTCAATATTATCACTTATATTTTCGCTGAATTTTCATGTTAATTTACTTAAGACCCCCTCACCCCTGACCTAAAGCCTAACCCTAAAAATCCAGCCCCCCAAATGTAATTCAATATGCCCCTCCAAATAACTATACGTGCCCTGAAGAGGGGTATATACAATTGGAATGGGGAGCACTAGAAGAGCATGGTTATGAGTGAGAGGCCCTATGGATGCAAGACTGATTACCCTCTGCAAAGTAGACTGTTTTTGTCCATTTTGTCCATGTCCATTAAAATACCACAAAGTTAAATGCATTTCCAATGAGGCCTTGTTTATGTTATTCCAAAGCCCACTGGAATGATATTTCAGAATAAAAATATTTTCAAACCATATTTTGACTACATAATGATAACAAAAATGATCTGACGGGAAATACAGAAAACATGTGTAAGTTCACTTTTAGAAAATTGAAAAGCTAATCTTTTTTCAGCAATTTTTAAAATTAGTATTGAAGTACTGATTGTATGTCAAATTTAATATAAATACTTGGGTATGAGTACCTAGTGAAATTTGGGGCGAGAAGTAAAAAAATAAAAGTTCTTTGTAAACTATAACTATAAACTACCTTTGTTATCTGTTTATAATCATGCTACAATGTATCTGTATTTCATCCAAACATAAGAATGATGATTGATAAAATTGAGGCAGAGATTCACACTTTTGTAAGTTTTGTGCAGGCAGAGAATGTAACAAAAATCAGGCATATTCAGCTCATTTTTATTTATAATTGGATTCAATATTTGTCATTCACATTTCTATCTACTGGTTTCAAACTTTGTTGAAATATGCTTAATATGGATGAACTATACAATTTAAGTTAATTTTAGTTTGAGATTACAAAATATCTTATGAACTATATTCTGCCAATTCTGTAATATTGAAGAGTGATTTAATGGGTTCATTTGTATATTAATTAATTTCATATTTATTTAACACCAAATATTTAAGTATATATGTGCTTTTACTTGATTAAACAAATATTTTTTATTCATTAATTTATTTATTCATTCATTTATTCTTTTCATATGATTAATCTTGTATATTTCTAGAGATGTGAAACATTTATTCAGGGTGTTATGTCTAATATATCAGTGAGTACAAACACTATAGATGCTGTTACCAATGCTGATATGATTGTTGAAGCCATCTACGAAAATATGTCAGTGAAAAAAAAACTGTTTACTGAGCTAAACAATGCAGATATTAAGAAGTAAGTGCCACTATGCTACCGGTCACTGGTAGCATAGTGGTTGTCGCATCAGACTCATGTTCTGTAGACCCAAGTTCAAATCCTACCTTAGGTTGAACATCAAAGGGTCGACCCCTACCCTGGGTGAGTGTGCCACAGACTCAATGGGAAGGCCAATTCCACTGGTCGAAATTCATTCACTAACGAATTCGACTTTGGGGGAACCTTGGTTAAGGTCCACAGGTGTTTGTGTTCGATCGAGTCTGGTTGACGCCAGGATAGCGCATTACAAATTGCCATTTGACAGAGAGATGGCCACACTGCCCTGTCATGTAGTCCCAAACATGAATATGACTTCTGTGGCAAAATGCCCTATGTGTCGTCACTAGCACTTGCAATTTGCACATACAAAAAAAAAATGTCAGGAGAGACAACAGTGATACCCAATGTCTGGAACTGTCGCCTGGCACAAAAAATATTTAAAAAAAGTAAGTAAGTGCCGTAATTCAAAAAAAAATAATCTACCAAGAATGAAACTCATAATTGTGATGAAACTTATTGTGCAGGCTGGCTTCAACTTTCCACAGAGTTCCATGTGTGTCATTTAAATGCTGTTCTTGCCAATAGCATGGCATCGGCGTATGTCAAAATTAATTGTCTCTCCTGCACCTACTTTTCATATTTGACAGGGATGTGTGACCATCTTTCTATATCATAATGGGATATTCACAGAAAACATCCATATATGGCATTTGTAATAATCATGCACAATTGGGATAGTACAGACACTTCCAAGATATTGATGTCACTTAATGACATTCTAAATTTTTGGATTTTCTGCCATTTTAATTTTTAAATTTTTTTGACTCAACAAAACAATGGGAGTCTTTGCAGTTAGTGTGTCTGTACGTGTGTGTGCGTCCGTCATTTCCACTGATATCTCAAGAACCATATGTTGGGTTTTGATGAAACTTTATGCATAGACGCTCTGGGCTAATGCGTAGATTGGTTTAGATTTTGGTTTAAAATAATGGCATATCAATTACCTAATTTGCATGATAATTAACTAATTTTTAGCTGTTCCATGTTATTTAAAGAACCCCCCTTCGGATTTTGAACTTGGTACATAGATGCTTTGGAACAATGCGGAGATCTGATATGACTTGGAGTAAAAAGCCATGCATATTAATTATCTAATTAGCATAATGATTAATAAATTTTTGGCTTTTCCACTGTATATCTCTAGTACTAACCATCACATTAAAATGAAACATGGTACGTAGATGTAATTTGACAGTGTACAGACCTGATAATTTTAATTGCATAATTTGTAAATTTTTGGCTTTTTCACTAATATTTCAAGTACCAATCATTACATTGCTATGTCACTTGGTACATAGATGCTCTAGGTCTATGCACAGATCTAATTAGTTTGAGGTAAAAATCTGTGGATATTAATCATTTAATTTGCATAATGATTAGTTAATGTTTGGCTTTTCTCGTACCAGTACTGATCTACTCATTTCAATGAAACTTGGTACACCAATTTTTTAAGAATTACCGGTAATCCTCACATTATAACGAAACTTGGTACATAATACACAGACCTAATTAATTTGGGAATGAAATCTATGTCTAATTTGCATAATTTCAATAACCAATTAGTGCCTGGGAACACAGCATTAGTTTTTGATTAAATTGCCAAATTTGCACAATGTGCATAATCATCAAATTTCACTGAAATTTGGTTCACAGATGTTTTCTTTGATTTTCTCTGTGTTTTTCCTCTATCATGTCACTATCACGTATTTCTTTTTTTGTGTACAATGTATCCATTATCATCCATTTCAAAGGATGAAAAGAGATTAAATAGATTAAAATGTAAGTTCGTTCAAGCACTTTTATATTTGCTTCTCTGTTGACAGGTCTGCTGTATTTGCTAGCAATACATCTTCATTGTCAGTTGGTGAAATGGCCAGTGTTACTGGCTTTCCAGAAAAAATAGGTGGTTTACACTTCTTCTGTCCTGTGCCAGTCATGAAGATAGTTGAGGTATTTACATCTATACATTGTTTTCAATTCTCTTGTGTATCATTGTTTTCACTATGAATAATATCTGCTTTGATTTTATTTAGAATAATTAGAAATTAATTTCTGACTTTTATTGATGTCTCATTGAACAGTTGGTCACTCACAACATGATATCCCAAAGAACTGTAGATATATTAATGGAATTCTGTACAAAGCTTGGCAAAGAGATAGTGAAGTGTAAGGTGAGTGTATGTGTTAGCTTCATCCTGATGCGTGTGGCAGAGACTCGCTAGCATTTAAGTGCTCCACCGACACCCCCCACCCCTAAAAAGTAACATTTTCCAGAATGGTATCATTTGTAGCAACATTGTCCTGAATAGACCATTTTCCATTCACTGCGTTATGCATGAAATCAAACGTAAAAACAGGACAAACAAAGGTTATAGCGTCGTAGTGGCATCAAACATCCCGTGGGATTCGACAAATGCGAAAATATTTTGGGGGGCATTTCCATGCCTAATAATGTGCTGTACACATTTGATGATAGACAATTTCCATTAAGTGAGGGTATTCGAAGATAGGCCGGTCGATGTGAGCTACGAAATAAAGAAATTCGAGTTTAAAATCAAATGTTCGATTTTTGTGGCAGATGTTCGACGCGAATCTTTCATGCATCTCGCGAGATCTCACAGTTGAACGGGAAATCACCTATTGTATTATCAGTAGCTACATTGTCTTGAATTGTATCATCTATCAATTATATTCAGTTCAGTAATGTATTTCACATTGTGTCTGTATTTTGATTCCCAAGTGATGACATGAGTACAATCAATATAAATTAATTCATATATTCTGTGCATCATAGGACACACCAGGATTTATCGTTAACCGTTTAATGGTGCCGTATATGCTAGAAGCATGTCGTATGGCTGAAAGAGGTGTGTACACCCATACATACAACATGATTTCATATATAATATTCAATTTCCCGATTAATTTTAGCAAATCAGACACTTTTCAGAATGTTGCAAACTTAATCTTCATTTTGACGTTATTGAATTTGGTAAAAATTGAATTTTGGCCAGCAAAAAGCCCAATCGTTTTTTTATTTTGAATCATAACAGAGTATAGGGTGTTTGTAAATCTTTACTTTAATGGTTGGTTATTCCTTCAATGTGTAGACACTGCTATGAAACTTGAACCACTAGAGGGCACCACTGCTATAATAAACTTCTCTGCTTCATGGCTCATACCACCAATTAGAACTTTATAGATGGAAATATTAGCATTTGGGTGAAAACAGGATAGAAAAATCAAAATATTGTTTTAATTTGTTGAATAACAATTGTTGTGATAACATTCTGGCCAGATAAACACATGTTGGCCAGCTCAAACTCCTACAAAATCGATGTAAACAGAACACACAGATTTGTCACGTTTTCTATCTTTGATATTCTCAGAAAAGCAGCCAGTTTTGAAGTGTCTAATCAAGGGTTGTTTACTTGTCAATAAACAAAGCTACATGTACACACACATCTAACAGTTGACGTTATTGAAGTATGCTCTCATATATTGTGTTTCAGATTAAACGCAGTGAAAGCAAATCCATTGCCTAACTATGAACACTGACTAATTGATGAAATGAGACCTTCAATAGGAAATGCTCCCTTCAAGGATACTGACTGCTATGAAACTTGAACCTCTAGAGGGCGCCACTGATATAATAAAATTTCTGCTTAAATAAATAGGTGATGCTTCCTTCAAAGATATTGACACTGCTATGAAACTTGGAGCTGGATATAAGATTGGGCCGTTTGAGTTAGCTGACTATATTGGACTGGAAGTCATGGAGTACGTCATAAATAGTAAGTTAAGGGCATTGGATTCTAATGAATAGTAAGTTAAGGGCACTGGAATCTAATGAATAGTAAGTTAAGGGCATTGGATTCTAATGAATAGTAAGTTAAGGGCACTGGACTCTAATGAATAGTAAGTTAAAGGCATTGGATTCTAATGAATAGTAAGTTAAGGGCACTGGAATCTAATGAATAGTAAGTTAAGGGCATTGGATTCTAATGAATAGTAAGTTAAGGGCATTGGATTCTAATGAATAGTAAGTTAAGGGCACTGGAATCTAATGAATAGTAAGTTAAGGGCATTGGATTCTAATGAATAGTAAGTTAAGGGCCCTGGACTCTAATGAATAGTAAGTTAAGGGCACTGGACTCTAATGAATAGTAAGGTAAGGGCACTGCACTCTAATGAATAGTAAGTTAAGGGCACTGGACTCTAATGAATAGTAAGTTAAGGGCACTGGACTCTAATGAATAGTAAGTTATGGGCACTGGACTCTGATGAATAGTAAGTTAAGGGCACTGAACTCTAATGAATAGTATGGTAAGGCACTGGACTCTAATGAATAGTAAGTTAAGGTCATTGGATTCTTATGAATAGTAAGTTAAGGGCATTGGATTCTAATGAATAGTAAGTTAAGGGCACTGGACTCTAATGAATAGTAAGTTAAGGGCACTGGACTCTGATGAATAGTAAGTTAAGGGCACTGGACTCTAATGAATAGTAAGTTAAGGGCATTGGATTCTAATGAATAGTAAATTAAGGACATTGGATTCTAATGAATAGTAAGTTAAGGGCACTGGACTCTAATGAATAGTAAGTTAAAGGCACTGGACTCTGATGAATAGTAAGTTAAGGGCACTGGACTCTGATGAATAGTGAGTTAAATGCACTGGACTCTAATGAATAGTAAGTTAAGGGCATTGGATTCTAATGAATAGTAAGTTAAGGACATTGGATTCTAATGAATAGTAAGTTAAGGGCATTGGATTCTAATGAATAGTGAGTTAAATGCACTGGATTCTAATGAATAGTAAGTTAAGGGCATTGGATTCTAATGAATAGTAAGTTAAGGACATTGGATTCTAATGAATAGTAAGTTAAGGGCACTGGATTCTAATGAATAGTAAGTTAAGAGCATTGAATTCTAATGAATAGTAAGTTAAGGGCACTGGATTCTAATGAATAGTAAGTTAAGGGCATTGGATTCTAATGAATAGTGAGTTAAAGGCACTGGATTCTAATGAATAGTAAGTTAAGGGCACTGGATTCTAATGAATAGTAAGTTAAGGGCATTGGATTCTAATGAATAGTGAGTTAAAGGCACTGGATTCTAATGAATACTAAGTTAAGGACATTGGATTCTAATGAATAGTAAGTTAAGGGCACTGGATTCTAATGAATCATAAGTTTGATCCAGTAAATTAAGGTAAATTCAAATTTGGAAAGAAAATGGCTGAGGTCATGATTGCTCTCAAATTATAAAACATGAAAGTTTGTTGACAGTTCTTTCAAATCATTTCACTGTTATATTCTTAGTTTAATATTGTCATGAAATCACTGATAGTACACATCTGAGAAATCACAGACCTAATTCTCTTTACAATTTTTCTTCTTGCAGGTTTTCACGATTCATATCCCTCTGATCCACTGTTTAGGAAAAGTGACTTGGTTCATAAACTTGTTTGTGATGGAAAATTAGGAAGAAAAACAGGAGAAGGATTTTACAAATACAACAAATGATGGATTTATCAGAAACAATGTCATAAATTAAATTAGGTACTGTAAGATGATGTACTCAGTCATCACCTGAACTTGGGTTTACACAATTAAATTTAGAGCCAGTCTTGCATTGTTCAATATGGGTCCCATGTGATTTATACAACTCAGGTAAAATACTTTTGATTTTCACAAAATTCAATGGTGCAGTGCACGATGACCAGTGTTTCCACCAAGTCTCATCTTCTGTGGAATTTTCACAGTTTTTCAGTGAAATTAGTCAATTTGAGAAACATTTCTTTTACATTCATGCATTTCGTTTGCAAAATCATCTGATTCAAGGTGGTCTCTGAAATGAAATCACATTTCTTTTCGGAGCTAAACTTGCGCTTTTATTATGTGGCAGCCATTGCTGAATAATATGCATTTCAAAGCCTTGTGTTCGGCTCCCCTGCAACTTTAAGACTCACTACAGATGTGTTGCTTCAATGCAAAAGCAAGGCCTGAAACACATAGTCAGCAATACATGTATATGGTACCACAATGGTAAAAGCGAATTAAGGGTACCCTGATGATAACCATACATGTTATTGATGAGATAACTACACATCAAAACATGCAGATATTACAACACAGCATTAGTGAAGAGTGTCCACCTATTTTGCATAAATTGAAATGTGGATGTCTTCAGGTCAACAGAATAATACAGGTACAAGTTGATAAATATAGGTAATAGCCAGAGTTAGTGCATTTATGATTGTAAATGCCAGTTAAATCAGCATCTTGTGAAATCAGAAGAGTGTTTGTGCAAGTGTTGGAAATAGACCATTTTCCGTTCACTGCGAGAATCATGCGTTATGCGTGAAATCGAACGTAAAAACAGGACAAACAAAGGTCATAGCGTCGTAGTGGCGTCAAACATCGCGTGGGATTCGACAAACGCGAAGTATTTTGGGGGACATTTCCATGCTTAATAATGTGCTGTCCACATTTGATGATAGACAATTTTGATTAAGTAAGGGTATTCGGAAGCAATATTCCTCTGTCGAAGATCGGCCGGTCGATGTGAGTTACGAAATAAAGAAATTCTAGTTCAAAATCAAATCGTTCGATTTTTGCGGCAGACGTTCGACGCGCGTTTTTCATACATCTCGCGAGATCTCGCAACTGTACGGAAAATCCCCTATTGTCATGCCTCCGTTGTGTAAAGTGTGGCGTTTCTTTGGAGGGCCTTTACAATAATGAATGAGCTGTTACAGTAGCAGTTTACTAATCTTCATAGATATAAAGAGATAAGGACGGGACTTGCAGGAACTATAACATCCTTGGTCATGTAACACTTTGTTCTGGCTCTTCTGGTATACCTTTTGTTTTTGCAATTGCAATTTTGTTCTTTTGCTGATTGTAAGCTGGTCACATTTGTATTCATTTCCAAGTGTAATTGCTACACGTAACTTGTAAATTGGCATTATCTTAGCTGCATAACTGTAATCGTTATTGACCTTGCACCTTGACTAAGACTGTGCAGCTTTATTTAAGGTGCAACGAGTGGAGTTGATAATTCTTTTTGAACTATTGAAAAAGTTGGCCAGGGAAGGGGTTTAAACCCACAACATCAACCACAGCAGGTAGAGCCTTGAATGACTGAGCTATTGCTATTTCTGATAGAGATTCTGGGGAAAATTAGAATGATCATTTCAATTATTCATGAGCAAATGACAAAGTGTACAATACATATCAACACACGTTCGGGCATGTGCACTGCCAATGCAACCAATTGCTGAATCTTTAAATTTTATCATTTTTTCAGTGATATACATATAATTAAGTAACACTTGCTCGAAAGTGTGAAAAGCGTTATGTTCCATAACCCAAACTTCTTCATGGTGTTTCCATTAATAAACAAATACCATAAACAATGAGACACATGACTATTAAAGAGTGATGTAAAATATATAATATAAGTAAGATAAGTCCAGTCTTGGGAAGTGAAGATGTTTTATACTGCTATATGTGTATAGGAATACATTTAATATTGTAAAGCATTGCAAATTAAAATAAATTTATTTGTGTGTACACTTTGTATGTTAAATGACAACAATAAATCTTTTTCTTGGCTCTCAATAGTATACAAGTACATTTTCTGACTACATTCCTGATAAATTTGTTTGTATATTATGTATGCAATTGTGAGAGTGCTGTTTACCCTTCTTGAGTGTATGGGGGCGCTGTTCACCCTTGAGTGTTATTTATATTTTCTTTAAATATTCATATTTCTACCTTTGAGATGTATTGTAAATTCTTTATTTTTATTATTAATTTCTGTAGAGAATATGTAATGTATTATTTCAATGTATTTTGTAATTTTGAGAAAACACTTCTTTTGCCGAGGTCATGTGACATGACAGACTCCATCTTGTAAACTTCTGTTTGCAAACACTTTTCTTTTGCTGTCTGCAATTTCACCCAGTTTCAATCTTTATCAGTCTCTGGAAGTTTGAAAACCATTTCATGTTTTTCTGAGCTCGAGCTGTGTGAATGGCGACCTGAAGCTGAGGAGAGCATTGCATTTCACTCGATTTAGAGTTGTTCTAGTCAGGGTTTTTGTTTTGTTTTTGTTTTATGTTATCTTAACCATAGTATGAACTTGGAATAAAAGAACGCAGGTGAATGACATACATGCGTGTCTCTATGTGTGTCTATCTGCATGTTACATT